TGGGCTCTCTTGTTGTTTTGTTGATGGTTTCTTTTGCTGTGCAGAAGCTTTTTATTTTGATGTAGTTCCATTTGTTTATTTTCTCCTTAGTTTTCATTGTTTTAGGAGCTGTATCAGTAAAGATATTGCTACAACATACGTCTGATATTTTGCTGCCTGTGGATTCTTCTAATACTTTTTATGGTTTCCCATCTTACATTTAAGTCCTTTATCCATTTTGAGTTTATTTTTGTGTATCATGTAAATTAGTGTTCTAGTTTTATTTATTTTTTGCATGTTATCTATCCAATTTCCCCAACACCATTCATTAAAGAGACTGTCTTGACTCCACTCTATGCTCTTGCCTCCTTTCTAGCAAATCAGGTCCAGCATTACATTAGAAAGGTCATACACCATGACCAAGTCGGATTTATTCTGGGGATGCAAGACTGATACAATATCTGCAAATCAATAAACATGATACATCACATAAACAAATTGAGAAACAAAAATCACATAATCATGTCACTTGATGTAGAAAAAGCATTTGACAAAATCCAATACCCTTTCTTGATTAAAAAAAATCTCAGCAAAGTGGGAATAGAGGGATCATACCTCAACATAATAAAAGCCATATATGACAAACCTACAGCCAATGTCAAACTCAATGGTCAAAAACTAAAACCATTTCCCCTAAGAGCAGGAACAAGACAGGGATGCCCACTTTCATCACTCCTGTTCGACATAGTACTGGAAGTGCTAGCCATAGCAATCAGACAAGAAGAAGAAATAAAAGGCACCCAAAAGGCTTTGGAAAAGAAGAAGTAAAACTGTCATTATTCACAGGAAACATGATATTGTATATAGAAAACCTTAAATACTCCATCAAAAAACTATTAGACTTAAGAATGAATTCAGCAATGTAGCAGGATACAAAATTAACACCCAGAAATATATAGCATTTTTAGACACCAAAATGAACTCACAGAAAGAGAAACTAAAAAAACATTTACCCATTTACCATTGCACCAAAAAAATTAAGATACCTAGGAATAAACTTAACTAAGGATGTAAAAGACCTGTATTCAGAAAACTATAGGACATTGGGAAAAGAAATAGAGGAAGACATAAAGAAATGGAAAAATATACAATGTTCATGGATTGGTAGAATCAACATCATTAAAATGTCCATACTACCCAAATCAATCTATAGATTCGATGCAATCCCCAGTAAAATACCAATGGCATATTTCACAGTCCTAGAACAAACTCTCTAAAAATTCATTTGGAATCAAAAAAAGACCCCGAATAGCCACAGCAATCCTGAGAAAGAACAAACTTGGAGGGTCACAATACCAGATATCAAACTATATTACAAAGCCACTGTTCTCAAAACTGCCTGGTACTGGCATAGGAAGAGACATATAGACCAATGGAACAGAACAAAGAACCCAGAAGTCAACCCAGGCCACTATGTTGTTAGGGTTTTAAACAGCCTTGTTCTCAAATTTAAAACACACACACACAAAACACAATAGAAAAAGTGAGTCAAGGAGATTAATACATAGACACTAATCAAAGTCTTTGATCTGTGACCCAAATGCTGTCTCCAACCCCAGAGTGATAGGTAGGGCTGGGCAACAGCAGGACTTTCCTGCTTTCAAAGATGGCTTTCAGAATGACAATAGGAAAAATCTTGGTTCAGAGGACAGACTGCTCTGTTAAAGTAGAAGCTGAGTCACACATGCTCAACTCTCTGGTGTCACCAGACAGATAAGTCACTCATTCCTAGGAGGTGAGGGAGGTAAATAGTGGAGAAAACTTATGTGTTTTCTTTTCATGCTTTTCCCTCCTGGAGAGTGGAAATCTCTGAAACTCTCCTGATAAAATGTGAAGAATAAGATATATTCTATTTCTCACAAGTCCCTTCTGAAACACATAGATAATATTAACTTGAACTTACCAATGAAGACCATGAAGCTCCGAGACATTACTTCTCTCATCAGTGTCACCATGCTGACCAGATGTGCTGCTGAAATTTAAGTGAAAACCAGTTGCGTTGAATGGTGCTACGGATCTTACAAGTGGAAATGCCCAGAAGAAGAACCAAGGGCCTGGATGGTATTGTACAGAGAAGGTATCCTGTGTGAGGGATGACACCCACAGATGACATCAAGGGCCTCTTCTAGGACTGCGGTTTGTGTTTTAGAGGCGTTGCATCTCAAAGG